CGCCCGAGGCCGCCCCGAAGGGCCCGGGGCCCGTGCGCCCGGCAGCCGGCAGCGTTTGGCCCAGCGTGGGAGCCGTAGCGCCGTCCCTCTGCGGCCACCGTAGGACTTCCCTCCCGCCCCTCCGCCCGCGCCGACACGGAAAGCGCCTCCCTTCCCCCCGGCTCGGAGCCGACTCTGAGCAGCCGGAACTCGACACTACCCCAGGGCGTGCGTGCTTACGTGCCTGCGTGCGCGCGCGGGACTTAACGCTGCCGCCCGTCTCCTCGTCCCGCGTACGCCGCCAGCAGCTCAGTCTGCCTTGCGCAGGCGCACGTTGTGGGCCTGCGCGTGCGGACCACGGGCACCCCCTCCGCGCACGCGCCGCGGCGCCCTCACGTGTCCGCTACCCGCAGGGCTGCTGCCGCCTGTGGGGGCCGCGGGGGGGGGGCGGGGGGGGGGCACCGGGGAGGCGGGGGCCGGCCGACTGCTGCCGCCGCGCCCTGGGGTTGCCCCTTCCCCGGACAATGAGGAGTCAGTGCGGACTTGTTAAAGTGTTTCAGCCCGGCTGGGTGCCAGGATCGCGGAGACACTGGGTTGGTTCCGGGTCGCTCCCTCGTAGATGCGGCTCCCTGTGCCCGGAGGCTGGAGGCCAGCCACTCAGGCACCCTTCCCGGCCCGGCGCCGGGACGCTGCCCTCCTCCAGGCTGGCCGCCAGTCTGTCCCTCCGCGCTGCCCGCCTGCCGCCTCCCCAGCCCTAACCCCAGGTCCCCCAGCCCGCCGCCCCCTAACCTTACCAGGTTCCCCGCACCCCATCCCTGTTTCGTGGCTCCTGGCTCGTGTGGTCCTGGCTTTTCTGCTCCCGCCCCTCTGGGGAGGAGGATCTGGCAGGGTCAGGATGCAGAAGGAGCAGGAGAGCTTTGAAAAGTCCAGAGCAACTGTGAAGGGGCAGCAGAAGATGGGAGAAAAGGAGGCTATTTTAAGAAATATTTCTTAAAATGCAGCCTTTTTTGCAGGCTGGGTTTCTGCAGTAGCTCCGTGCTCCATAGTTGGCCCTGGGGTGGTGGTTTTCCTCTCCAGCCCCCCGTCCAGCCCTCTCCCCCTTGGGACACCCCATACAGGCCCCCTCCTTAGCTCTGTGAGGAGGTCCCATTGTTCTCATACATGACCTGTCCGTTCACACTTATTTATTCTGTTCCTCTGCTCCTTCTCTGCTTGCCGAGCTCCTACTCAGCCTTCAAGACCCCAATTATCCCCTCCTCTAAAAGCTGCGTCCAACCATGTACCACCCTTCCCTGGCACCCATACCCTTCCTGAGTGTGTGTGGAGGGGATCCTGCTTGCTCTCAGCCCTACCTCTCTTCCCTCCCCAGACTGCAAAGATTCGTTTATAGATCTATGTCCTCCATCTGCTCAGTTTTCTCACCACGGCCATTGGAAGACCTATTTCTTCTTTGTGGTCCCGTCCACACACACACGTGTTTAAACAACGCCAGAAGCTTCGCAGAACAGTGCTTCTGGCCACAGGGTCCGATACGTTGTGTTGCTTCTCTATGTTAAGACGCTAGAACCACACACCTGCAGCCTTACCACTACCAGGTAAAGGAGCCCTGAGCATGAGGAGGGGGCTGTGTCCTCGGGACTGCCTTGGTGGCAGGGCCAGGGGAAGCCTCCGACGCGTGCTGTGTTTGTGTGCAGGTCCTCGTTTGGGGGTCCAGTGGGGATCCCAATCTTGCTGTCCATCCCCCGGAGTAGCCCACTCCCCAGGCTTCCCCGCAGGGGCTGGGCGGTGGGCAGTGGCCGGGCGCCACCTGCTGGACGGTGTTGGCATTGCTGCGGAGCTGGCCACCGGCTCTGCGGGTAGGAAGGACTGGAGCAAGGGTGAGTCCATTGGAAGCTTCAAGGCAGGGCCTTAAAATCAGCGTGCCCCCCAGCCCGCTCCTGTGTTGTCTGGGGCTGCTCTCGAGCTACCATGGTAGAATGGAGTGGCCTCCCGAGAAGAGACCCAATGGCCCACAAACCTGAGAACCTCTACCCTTTGGCCTTTGTAAGGTTTGTTGGGCCCTGCTCCCCACTTTAAACAAGGGGAAGAGCGGTGTCACCCTTCGGGTCATGTTTTAACTCACCCGTCCTTGGCAGGGGTGAAGTATGACGTCAAGCTCACAGTAACACTGACATTTGCTGTTGTGTGTGCTGGGGGCGGGGGGCCTCATCACAGGGACTCCAGAGGGCGTGCTTGCCCCAGTTCGGAGGCCTGAGCGAGCCCCCCCAGCTCCCAGAGGGGCTCAGTCTCCATGGTCCTCATACACACTCCCACAGTCACCTCGCAGCATGGGCTGGAATTCCCGCCGCCTGGCTCCGGGCTGCCTTAGCAACCAGGTGCTGAGGCCCAGGGGACCCCGTGCCATCTCCAGGGTTGGATCAGAAGACACCTCCCACCCCAATGTCCTAATGCTCCCTCCCAGCACCCAGCTACTGAGCTGGTAGACACTGGGCCACGGGGGGGCACGTGACAGGTGGGCGAGGTGCATGTGGTGGGCATGTGGGGAGGCCCTGCAGGGGGATCTGGGGCCGAGCCCTTCGAGCACAGCCTTCGAGTGTCTGGGGAAGGCAGCAGACCTGTGAGCAAAGGAGTCTCTTGTGATCACGTGGTGGTCACGTGTGGGCCATGCTGGAAGCATGTAAGGGAGGTAGTATGGAGGGGCTTGTGGGGCGCGCGTGGGTCCAGTGAGGGTCACCTTGGGCCACGTGGCAGGCATGTGGTAGCAATGCAGGTAAGAGTGGAAATATGGAGGGCTCTGTGGTGGTTCCATGGAGCAAGCATGTGGGTAGCACATGGGGGCTTAGTAAGATGGCCACGTGGGAGTCATGTGGCCGACATGTGGTCATGTACAGGCCACACTGTGGGCACTGAGGGAGGCCATATGGAGGGATTCATTGCAGGGGGATATATGGGTCATGTGGGGTTACGTGGGCCCTGTGCGAGGGGCACGTGGGCAGCCACGTGTGTGGCCTGTGGGGTGTTACATGGAGGGCCCTCAGGGTCTCTGTGAGGAGCACGTGTGGGGCGTGTGGTGGTCTTGTGGGGCGCACGTTTGGAGAGGCCGTTGGGGGGTGCTCCAGTGCCCCGCGCATCTGAGCGCCTGGCCGGGGGCATCACCCCTGTGAGGGCAGGAGTGCAGGTGGGTGGGGGAGCCACAGGGCTGGGGCCGAGACCCCGGACGGCACTGAGCAGAGAAGCCTGTGGGCCATGTCCGGATGCCGGCCTGCAGACTCTGTGACCAAGGGAAAATATTGGTGTTTTTCAGTACTAGGTTCGGGGGGGTCTGTTACCAAATGGTCTGAGTGGAACACGTCGTTTCGAATCCTCGTAACCACCTGACAGCAAGCAGCCTTGCCCCCACTTCACAGATGGGGAGAGAATGCTGCTTGTCAGGCCTGACTCCGACCCCCGGGGCGAGTCCAGCACCCCCGGGTGGCTGCTGGGTGACACGCACACTGAGCCGCCTCCGCCCGACGCCCTGCGGGCATCCCTGTGGGCATCCCTGTGGGGTCTGGCACTCTGGCCGACCTCCACTTGTCTGACCGGCGGCCCTGTCCCTACGGGGTTTTGGCTGCACAGCTCCAGCCTCCTTGGGGTGGCAGCGTGCCCCGCTAACAGCCCCCAGCATCTCCCGTTGCTGCTGTGAGTCCCCCCGTCCACCTCCGTGAGCCCAGAGGGTGCTCCTCTCCTCGGGGCGGAAACCACCTGCCGTAGGTCACAAGGGCCCGTTGGATGCACCTGGAGGTTGGTCGCTGTGGAAACGAGAGATGGCATTAATGGGGCAGTGAGGCCGAGGCCTCGCCCGCCCAGGGCAGCTTCGGCTCTACCGCTTTCGAGCCGTGGGCAGAGGCATCCGCCTCTCTGGACCTCGGTCTCCTCATCTGTAAAGTGGTGCTGGTAACACACGGGCCTCGACCTTGCGCCGAGGTGTGAAGCGGGCGCTGCTGCTCGCTGTTGCTGAGGGAGCCGCCCAGTGGCAGACCCCCGGCGCATACCGGGCCGGCTGGCCTGCGTGGCAGACGTGGCAGTGGGACGCCCAGGCCAGGCCACGGAGTGCACTGCAGCCCCACCTTGCGCTCTCTCGGGCGCTCACTGGGGAAGCCGGCAGGCGCAGGCGGGAGGCCTCCGGGGGAGCCCTGCCCACACCCGGATCTCAGGTGCGCGGCCGGCCCCGGGGAGGTGACGGAGTACGCTTCCGCGGCTCGAGCCGGGGTCTCTGGTGCTCTGTGACGGCCGCCCTGGTGAACGAACACACGCGTCTGTCACTCTGTTAAGCCGTCCTGTCCCGGGACCACCTGTCGGGCAGCCGCAGGTGACCGGCACAGCTCTGAGCGGTGAGCACCAGCCACGCCGAGCACTTCCTGTCGTTTGTCTCCCGAGCACGTCAGTCACAACCTGTGGGGGGGGGCCCAGCCCCTTACTCAGGTCCCCGTGGGCAGGGGCAGGCCTGGACGGGGTCTCTGTGCCGTGCTGGCCCGAATGCCGGCGGAAGCATTCATCTTTGGATGTTGGTTCCCTGGCCGGGGTGTGGACCAGAGCAGGAGGGACAGAGAGACAGGTCCTCTGTTCTCTCAGCAGGCCTGCTTCCGGAGAAGGAATGTGGCACCTCGTGCCGCCTCTCCTCCCCTCCTCACTGTCCCCCAGCTGGCCGGCTCTCTCCCGTCTTTCCCAGTCCGGGGCAGGCTTGAGCTGGGCTCTCGGTCTGGGCAGCAGGGCGGCTTCTGCCCGCCGGCCCCCATCCCGCCCCTCCGCCCCCGAGCTGCGTGTCCTGCCATATCTCTGGCCTGGCTTGCAGCAGGACCCAGGATGACCCTGCCGCCGGGGACGGCCGTGGGCACTTGGCCCACCGGGCTTCAGTCTGGCACCCCCCCACGGCCTGTGCGGGCAGCGCTGGGGAGGAAAGGGCGCCCCGGGGAAGTGGACCAGGCTGGGCGCTGGGGAAGCACTCAGGCCACATGGAAGGAGGCCATGAGCGACACGGGGGCTGTCGGGGGCTGCTGGGTGACGGTTTGTAGGTTACAGACTTGCCCTGATTTCACAAGTGCCCGGTGCTGAGCTGCCGGAGGCGGCTCCACCGTTGGATAAATCACTGACCCGTCCTGGCTGTTCGCCTTCATCTGTGAGCTGAGTAGGTAGCGCAGCCCTCGCAGCCGTTGGAGGGTTTAATGATGTGCGGCCTTCGCCAAGGCCGGGCTGAGCAGCGCTCGGCAACGCTGCCGCTGGGACGCGGAGAAATGCGGGTCGTAAACAAGCCCCGGATCTAGCTCGCGCGCAGAGACCCGGCC